CCTTTCTTGATAGTATTTGAAGTATTGTAATGCTTTATAATATTAAAAGTATTCCTAAATACTTTCTTTATACTCTTATCCCACAAGCTTTTTTCTATTTAAAATTTTTCTGTTTACTTTTTAAACTTTTCAGTTAAAAACTGAGACACAAGCACAAGCATTAAAGTAGACGTACACAGGGTCAGGACCACCCTCATCACTGCCTTTCTGCTCCACCTTTTGTCCCACTGGAAGGTCTTCAGGGGCAATAACACACATGGAGCCGTCACCTCCTCAGGTAACAATGCCTTCTCCTGAAATGCCCCCAGGACCTGTCCGAGGCTGTTTTACAGTTAGCTGACTTGCTTTTTTATAAGTGAAAGGAGTATACTCAAAAAAAAAAAAAAAAAAAAAAAAAACAATGAATAGTAGAGTCAATACATAAACTGTAACAGCCATTTATTATTAAGTATTCTGTGCTTAGTAATACTGGCAGCACAGAGGTTTGTTTACACCAGCATCACCACAAAGGCATGGGCAATGCATTCAGTGCATTACGCTATGACATCACTAGGCATAGACATTTTTCAACTCTATCATAATCTTAGGGGACCATAATGGTATATGTGGTCCGTCATTGACCAAAGCATCCACATACAATGCATGACGGTATTTATTGCTGATTGTCTAGCTCCTTCCCCTACTCCCAGACGTAAGGCCATTGAAGCTTTTATTGCCCTTTCTGTTGTTCACTGATGTCCCTAAATAGTGTCTGGTATTTACTAGGCGCTCAATAAATATTTGCATAAGGGCTTAGAAACCAATTCAAAACTGAATTCTGTTGAGAGTCAAAGCTAATAGAAGTGAGTGAAAAAAATACAAACCAGTTTGACAATCACTGACATGAAGGTTTCGTGCTCTGATTACAGCCCTGCTCACTTCCCAGCTTAACAAGGAATTGAGCTGCCGTGAGAATTTTTGGCATCAAGCATCACAGATTAGGATCAAGACATAAAAAGTCCGTTAATGGCTTAATAAATGAATAATCCGTTTGCACTTTGTGAATACCAAACTAGTCATAAATAACTGAAACAAAGTGATTATTTTATAATAGAATCCCATTTGTTAAAATATAAAGATTCAGGCTGGGCATAGTGGCTCATGCCTGTAATCCCAATGTGGCTTTGGAAAGCCACATTGAAAGGATTGCTTAAGCCCAGGTGTTTGAGACCAGCCTGAGCAACATAGCAAGACCCCGTCTTTACAAAAATAAAAATAAAAAACAAAATTAGCTAGGTGTGGTGGCATGCACCTGTAATCCTAACTACTCATGAGGCTGAGATGGGAGGATCACTTGAGCCCAGGAGTTTGAGGTTAGAGTAAGCTATGATTACACCACTGCACTTCAGCCTGCGGAATAAAAGTAGACTCTATCTCTAAAAATACACCATATAAATAAAAATAAAAATAAAAGGAAAGATTCAGGATACAGCCTTTGTTTATTTATTTATTTATTTATTTAACTTATTTATTTTGAGATCGAGTCTCACTCTGTCACTCAGGCTGGAGTGCAGTGGTGCAATCTCTGCTAACTGTCACCTCCACCTCCCGGGTTCAACCAATTTTCTCCCTCAGCCTCCAAGTAGCTGGGATTACAGGCACCCGCCACCATGTATCTTTGGTAGAGATGGGGTTTCACCATCTTGGCCAGGCTGGTCTTGAACTCCTGACCTCATGATCCACCCACCTCGGTCTCCCAAAGTGCTGGGATTACAGGCCCGAGCCACCACACCCGGCCCAGCCATCCTATTTTTAAAGTTCAGTGATTGCGGATTCTTTAAAGGCTTAGATTCAACCTGACTTTTTATGTCTTGATCCTAACCTATGATGCTTGATGCCAAAAATTCCCACGGCAGCTCAATTCCTTGTTAAGCTGGGAAGCGAGCAGGGCTGTAATCAGAGCACAAAACCTTCATGTCAGTGATCGTCAAAACTGGTTTATACTTTTTTCACTCACTTCTATTAGCTTTGACTCTCAACAGAATTCAATTCTGAATTGGTTTCTAAGCCCTTATGCAAAAATGTAGACTCCAACAAAACATAACTTGGTTGACTACTTGCATTTTACCATGTTATCTGGAGTAACAATAGCCAGAGAGACTCTCCAGCTGCAGAGGATAGAGGTCTATGAGTTTCTTGGAAAGCTGTTGATTATGGAATAAGCCGCCTTTCAACAAGCCTTGTCAGTTAGAAATTGTATTCTCTTAGGCTAGCTACTGGACAAAAAAAAAAAAAAAAAAAAAAAAAAAAATTCCCTGTACTTTATAACCATTTAATGGTTGTATTTTAGGTAAATGTATATTTTAATTCAAAAATTCGCTCACTCTATTTCCACTTACAAGTAAGCCCAGAAGCAAATCTCTCTTTCCCAGTTACCCTATTGATCTTTTCCATCATTAAAAATAAACTGATGCTGTTAGCCAATTTTAAATTTTAAAAATCTTTGTTTCCCCCATCTTCATTTTTATTGTTTTTTCAACATTCTGAAGAAACCTTTAAGCTAAGAGGTTGAGGTCGTAGCCTTGGTGTTGATAGGCACTGCCAGAGCAAAATAACATATTAAATAAAGGTGGTTAAGTATATCAGGCAGCCTGAGGTGGAGAGGTGTAGGGAGGAGGAGAGGGGTAACCCTTATCATTTGTGTGCTCATGTTTAATCTTCTGATTTTAGTTAAACAAGATGCTGAGAAATTTACCTTATAATAAGAGTTTTAGTTCAAGGACTGAAAACTACAAGGATGTAGCCTCTTCCTTGGTCCTTAGCTATTTGCTCTAGAAGAAAATTCTGCCCTGGAGATCTGAACACATAATCTACACTAATGTTGTACCAAGCCGTGCCGCTTCTTTAGAGCATTTGTAACATGTGTAAGCTCCTGAAGTCACTAATAGGCAGAGAAATTAACAGTTAAATCGGAGCTAACTGAAATATTTATGGAGCTGTTGAAAGAACCATTGCAACTGAGGACACATGGCTTGTGCCATATATAATTCAGCCTTATTTCAGAGAACAATTTTTTTTTATGTTTCAAAAGACACTGTGCTTCAAACATTTGTATAACGTTGTAATGGCTCCCGAAAAGGGGAATTTGTAAACGTGTTGAGTGCCTCGTTCTATGTTTGGAGCTAGAGAGAGTCCATGCATAGCCATTACTGTGTGTTAATAACTGAGTGGATACATCTAAATAATACAGAGCAAAATAAAAATTGTGGAAATGTACCAGCAACGTGTACCTTCACTTTCTGAGGCTAATAAATCTCAGGCAAATAGAAAGGCCTTCAATATTTATTTATTATTTTGAACAAAAGGAATGGGTCACAATCAAACCAGAGAAGGGAACAATTTATTTTGACAGGCAAGTCTGGGAAAGGTCTGATGGAAGAAATGTGACTGACCTTGAGGAATGGGTAATTTTGATTGGGGGAGAGGGAGAAACAGCATGGGCAGAAAGCAGGGAAGCATGTAAGTGCATGGCACATCCAAGAGAGCCAGGAGAGCGCAGCCAAGTGCAGGCTTCATAGAAAGGCAATGGAGGAAGATGAGGGTGGGAAGGGAAGCCGGAGCCCATCACCAAAGCATTAAGTGCCATAGAATGAAGTTGGCTTTCTATTTTCTGGGTAGCAAGGAGGTTTTTTAAGGGCAGAATGATATATTCACTTCTCTATTTTTGGAAAATGATTCCAAGGATAGTGTGAAGGATGGATTAGGAGATGGAACTGGAAATAGGACCATCAGCTAGGAAGCATGTATGCTGTCAGTGAGTGTTAATGAAGGCCTCACTAAGACAGGTGCTGAGGAAGTAAGAGGGATTCCAAGGGGCCATGGACTACTCATAGGGAGAAGAATTCATAATTGTCTATGGAAAATGGGGGGACATTAAGGATGGGATCAAAGAAGCAAGGGTGATTTGGGAGAAGATGATAGGTGCTGGGTTCCCTGGTGAGACTGGAGTTTCTTGAAAATCTCATATTTTCATTTCATGACCATACCTGGCTACAATGCATGGGTAGCATTTTCCAACTCCTCCTAATATTACAAGGCATCATTTTTTTGTTGTCAAGCCACAAATCTGTTAATAAAAGTAAACCATTCAAAAGAAAGATTAAGCCAGGCATAGAAGTTGACACCCGTAATCCCAGAACTTTGGGAGGCTGAGGTGGGAGGATCACTTGAGCCCAGCAGTTCAAGACTAGCCTGGACAACACTAGCAAGACCCTATCTTTACAAAAAATAAAAATAATTAGACAGAGATGGTGGCACATGCCTGTAGTCCTAGCTACATGGAAGGCTGAGGTGGGTGGATCTCTTGAGACCAAGAGTTCAGGGTTTCAGAGTGCTATGATTATGCCACTGCACTCCTTCCTGGAGCAAGACAGACTCTGTCTCACAAAGAAAGAAAAGAGACGAGAGGAGAGGAAACGGAAAGAGAAAGAAAGAGAGAGAGAGAAGGAAAGAAAGAAAGAAAAAGAAAGAAAGAAAGAAAGAAAGAAAGAAAGAAGAAAGAAAGAAAGAAAGAAAGAAAGAAAGAAAGAAAGAAAGAAAGGAAGGAAGGAAGGAAAGGAAGGAAGGGAAAGAAAGAAAAGAAAGAAAGAGAGAAAGAGAAGAAAAAGGAGGGGGGGAAGGAAGGAAGGAAGGAAGGAAGGAAGGAAGGAAGGAAGGAAAGATAGATTAGAATGTGCTCAGAGGAAAGGAAAGGAAAGAAGAAAGAAAGATTAGAATGTGGTTAGCTGCTCAAATGAAGTCCACGCCTATGCTCTCTGTTGCTTGAACTAAAAACAGCAGCCTAGGAATGAGCATATCAAACATCCAGCCTAGGAATGACCTAGGAAACATTTGTAAAAGCAATGCCTTCAAGAGCTGCCTTAAAGTAAGGTTATCCTGAGCCTTGACCTGTTTCTTCTTGAAAATACATTTCACCTCTCTCATTTTCTCTTTATTCTTCCTCCCCATGCCTACACTTTTAGAGGAAAAGTCCGGTAAGAAATAAGTCCTTTCCACTTTGGGGGCAAACATTATTCATTCTATTTATTTTCATTATCTGCATATCTAATGACTGACTGTGTTTAATACCTAAACAAGGTTCTGAACTTTAAAAACAAACATTTGCGAACCATGACCAGGTCTCATTATGGAACATGGGAAAAAGGGAAGTTGGTTACTGATTAAGGGCCCTGGGGTAATTTTGTTAAGATTCACCTCTGCCTCAATCACAGGCATATGATCAAATGTTTTTGGTACTAAGTTTCATTTATTGCAGCTTCCAATGGAATTAGTCAAGCTACATCTACATATCATGAGCTAAGCAAACATTTTTAAAGTTAATTTCTGATTAGCGTTCAACATGGTAGCATCTGGAATGCATATGAAGCTGGTCTGGGAATGGGAAGCTGGGGGATTTTATTTTGTTTTTGTTTTAGTAAATCAAAATATCCCCTCCTGGAACTGTCAGAGACTGCAAAAGACGATCTTTATAAAATGTAAATTACCTCCTGGATGTTAATTTTTAGTAGCAGTGGGTGATTTTTGGTGGCAACACAAATCTTATATGATGTACCTACATCGTTTTATTTTAGAGAAACACAAGGAACAGATCTCCAAAAAAAAAAAAAAAAAAATTTGGTTCTCTTCTTGGTTGCCTGGTTTGTTGGGAACGTGCTCTCAGGATGGCTGACAGAGTTGACCTCTCTGCTAGAAAATAGGAAAATATTATGTTCCATGTTCACAGCACCAAGAAGTGGTTGGCTTATTGTTAACACACCTAGGTGGATGTTGCAGTAAGTGCTTTCACCTCTGATCCTTCCCACAGACCAAATCCTGGCAGCCACTGTCCCACATACGGGATACTGTGCTTATAGAAAAGCCATAGGATAGGAGGGAGGAGGGACAGAAGGCACAGGAAGGACCAAAACATGAGACCAAAACATTAAAATGTCTCAGACTGTGAACCCAAGTTCTTTGGTTTCCAAAAATAAAATAAGCAGCTATGATTATGATTATTACTAAGCTAAACGGCCCGCTTCTGAAATCAACTATGCCTCGCCGGCTCTGTGGCAGCAAAATATTACTGGTGCTCTTTAACAGCCTTTCCTTCCATTATGCAATTTCATTTATTCTTGTAGACCCTGAATCTTTTTCTGAATTAACCACATTTGACCACTTCAAATACCCACAGGATTCTGTGGCCTGAGGTTTGCCTGTGGTGCTTTAAAAATTCTCTTTTTCAGCCGGGCGCGGTGGCTCAAGCCTGTAATCCCGGCACTTTGGGAGGCCGAGGCGGGTGGATCACGAGGTCAAGAGATTGAGACCATCCTGGTCAACATGGTGAAACCCCGTCTCTACTAAAAATACAAAAAATTAGCTGGGCGTGGTGGCGCGTGCCTGTAATCCCAGCTACTCAGGAGGCTGAGGCAGGAGAATTGCCTGAACCCAGGAGGCGGAGGTTGCGGTGAGCCGAGATCGCGCCATTGCACTCCAGCCTGGGTAACAAGAGCGAAACTCCGTCTCAAAAATAAATAGATTAATTAAAATTCTCTTTTTCATTAGTTTTTCTCGTGTTGTTCTTCATGGCAATTTTAACTACAGTAATTTACCCCCATCACTCCCTCACCTCATTTTTCTTTGTAAATGTCCATGTTGATTCCTCTGCCTGGTCATTTTGATGATACCTTGGTTACTAGCAGGTTCTTTGTTTCTCTTCCCAAATGAAATTTTAGAAGATCATCTCAGATATGTCTGATAATAGGCAGTCTCTGTAATCTAACTTGTGATATGTAGTAGACCCAAGTTTAAATACATTCAAACACCTACAATAATGGGGCAAATATATGCTTGCCAAATAGTTTGTCTTCACCCTAAAGCATTTAAAAACAAATAGGAATGCTTGTAGGAATCTTAATAAACATAGTGATCATGCATTCTAATTCCTTCCTAGCAAATTCTCTAACTTTAATTACTCAATTTGCTAAAAGGAGACTATAAAAAAATCATATTTGTTTAGTGCTTTGTAGTTCATTGGCCGTTTTCATCTGTGTTTGCCCAGAGCACTGAATTTAGCAAATTAGAATGTCATAAAACTTCAAAATCTCGGTTATTTAATGAATTTGACAAGCAGGATAGATTGTTTGGTTAATTGGAAATGATAAATATGTTAAAACACTTTATTCACGTTGACTAAGACTAAGGTATCTCAGTTAACTGAATTTAAATGAACTCTGTTATGCAAAAAATAATAAAACAGAACTGCCGTGTGACATAAAAACACTGTGAAGACTGTGATGACATAGGCTGCAGTATTTTCTTTTATGTAGACATATTCATTTTGAAAATTTTAGAAATATACCATATTCTAGATCTTCATTCCAGTGACAAAATCACAGATTAGCAGTGTTTATCCACTTTGAAAATAGCCTCAAGGTAGAAAATAAGAGTTATCTCTAAGTGGAACACCAAAATAAAAGTAGAAGGGAAAATAAAATGTTTTCCAAAACCTTCTCCAGAAGGCACTGGAAGAAAAAGAGAAATCTGGATATTGAACACAGTATTTAATTAAGAATGAAGGAAATTTGTTCAGAAAACAAGTAGACCACTTGCAAGGTCTCTGAGTAATCAGACACAGAAATGAAGTAGTAATAGCAGCAGAGAGTACTTACTGAGAGCTTGTTATGTATGCTACAAATGCCTGCAATCAGAGATAAATTGACCTCCTGCAGATTCTGAACAACTGAATAGGTGTTTTGTTTGGTTGTGTGGTTAAAAACAATTTTAGCACACATTTCAAAACTAGAACATTTCAAATTAAAAAGAAAATCCGGATGCCCATCATCTCTCTGAAGACCTGGCAGGCCTAAGCCCACATTCTCACGTGGCAGACATGGGGTGCACTGAGTAGTGGCCAGTTTATTCTAGAGTCTCATAATGTGTATGTGCCTGACTGCCAGCCCCCTAGCCCCCCACCCACTTCTTACTCCTGCAAGCATTTGGGTTTGCAACTCTGGACGTAGTTCGCTCAGCTTATAGAATATATCAAGACCAGAGACTGAGTTAGTTTTCTTCTGCCTTTGAAGAAAATTCTATATTTAAACAAAATATAGAATGCTAAAGGCTTTGACATTCTTGGGAAATGATGGGAGAAAGGGTAAAATAAAATTTTGAACAGGCAAAGATCCTACCCTCCTGGGATTTTTCTGTCCTTGTCCAGCATAGCCTAAGCCGGTTTTTGCTCGTCAATGGTGATAATTGACATATATAAAGCCCTTCCATTTGCTTCTGGAATTCTTTTTCTTTTGAAGCTTTCAGATGGCTCTTAATCATAGCCCTTGAGGCTTTCTGGGTCTATACTTTGGACAGCTTCTAGCTGTATCTTTGGGGTTCTGTTTAATCAGCCTGTGACTACATGGATTTGAACAGCTATTCCCTGATGAAGGCATTTTTCAAGTGGAGTTTCCAAAATGCTGTATTGCAAGGTTGTCTTTTAGTAGAAAAAATAAAAGCTTGAACTTGCGATTAGAAATATAGGTTTATAATTTATTGGAAATTAAGATATGACTCAATTTGGGTAGATTAATATATTTGAAATTAATTTGAAAAAGTGTTCTGAATAACCTTAAATTAAAAGTAATGGCAAAAACCACAACTACTTTTGCACCTACTTTAATAATAAAGCTTCTTGAATGTAAGGTTCTGCCTCTGAATGCTTGCAATCTGTATTCTATTTTGCATATTTCCATCTTGGGTCACTTTTAGTCCTCTAATTGCTGTATTTTAAAAGTGAATTGTTTACCATGAAATTCCCACATTTCCTTCTACACAAAGAACTTTTTAATCTGGTCACTAAAGAATAATATATAAAAAAGTGTTTGAATTTTTCTCAAAACACAGTATGGATTAGTCAATAAGATCATTTAAGCCCAGAAATAAGTATTTATGTGTCCTTTTTTTCTCATTTTATTTAAGACGCATCCATGCATATAGGCAGGTTTATTTAAAAGGTGGAATTAATAGGGAGAATAAGGCAAATAATAAAGTCTATAATATTACAAGTAAATTGACTAGAGTAATATGTCAATGCTGCTTACAAACTGGTCTGAAAAATTACCATTCCCAGTGTTAACCACAATGGCTCTCTGCTTTTGGAGTTCTTCAACAATGCCATGCTTGGCATCATAGAAAGAATGAGAAAATGAGAAATCAGAGATCTAAATTCTGTCTCTGGTTCTACCTGTTTCCTAGCTGTGTATCTGAGAACCTCACCTTCCTCTCTATAGCATATAGCCAGTTGAACTAGATATCCGTGGAGGCCTACTAGATGTAAAAAGCTACAAGTTTTTGCTTCCTATCTATGTTCTAGAAAGACCATCTCTACGTTTGAACAAAGTCCTAGCTGTCTTTGTGTTTGTGTTCCCAGTTTTGATTTCGGGAGGCTGCCTCTGGCGAATCCATGCATTAGCCCACATATTGAAAGGAAAACCGAACAACAGCTCTTCCCCACTCACTTCCTAGTCACTCATGTTACATTAGAAAGCTCCCAAAGAGGCAGAGCTATCAGAGATTGTTGGAGTACATTGATAGCAGCCACAGTCAAGGTCTGAAAAGCAAAAGAAAGAAGTCATACAGCTGCTTGTTGTGTTTTCTAAGGTCATCTGGTCCACCGGCATTTTGTTGCTGCTGGACAGGTTTTGTCACTCCCAACTATGTTTGTCAGGCGCTCCTCGTCTTTCCCATCACATTCTCATCATTCACATCCTATTGGTAGAAGCTGCCCAAATCGCTAGGCCAAGAACATTCAACATAAAAAAAAAAAAAAAAAAAAAAAAAAAAAAAAAAATCCTCATAAGCATACCTTCCATAGAACACGAAAGAAAAAATCCAGACAAAGAAAGGGGCTGTCTAAATCCTGCCTCTGGTTTTTCGTAAGCTTTTTTTGCACCCTAACTATGTGGGAAATCCATGATTGTCTATATTTGCTAACACCCTGCTCTGTAGGGAAACAATTTGCTTTGTACTATCTCCATTTTCTAAGTACCCTCTCCCCAAACCATCTGGAGAGAAACTTCTCTGACAAGACATTAAACACTGTCAGTATGTTTCTACCTTATTCTTATGTACACATAACTAAAGCTTATATATTCATATTAGCAAAGCTGTATCGTACAACTAATAGCCTCTCTTTAAGGTTTCCCAAAGCCTCCTGTGGTTTAAATAAGCTTTAAACACTAGAACTGCCTGTCTTTCTTTGGCCTGATTGTCTGGAGGGTGTGTTTGGTTAGCTGTAGCTATGTATGAAGTCTTCTATTACCCAAGCCTGTTGACTGATCCATCATTCTCTGACTAGGTGTCTGTTCTCTCTTCCTTTTTGCTGATCACAGAGGCGCAGCCCGGTAAGAACTCTCAACATTTTTACCTTAAACATGTATAGAGAAAATTGCTGCCAAGGCAAGGTGGCCAGGTTGGTTTCCCATTAAATTTATGATAACCCAGTATGAATGAGGCAGATGAAATAGGTTTACTGGTGGAAAGCCTGTGACCCTCTTTAAGTATCAGGGGCATATTTTAGAATGGTCAGAGCACTTTCCCATAATGAACCAAATTAATACATGGGAATCCCAACTCCTAGTACTAAATTTGGAAAATATATGGAGTGTGCATGTGTGTGTGTGTGTGTGTGTGTGTGTGTGTGTGTGTGCATTAAAGGCCTAGAGAGTCACCAGAAAATACCATACAAGTTGATAGCAAAGAGATAATAAAGAATAATAAAACTATTAAGAACGTAAGGACACCTTTTTTAAGCCATCATTGCTTTTAAACCTGAATTCAAAATAGCTCCCTGGACCATAACTTACAGTGGTGAGAATATGCTGATACAATGTTACGATTTCCATCTTGGGAGAGGGAGACACACTTTCAAGTCAATATTCCTAGGCTATCACATAATTCTAAATAAATTTCATCACAGAAGACAAACTTTGGGAGGGTAAACCAATATTAATTGTTCAAAGTGAAAACTGTCATTTTCCTCAAGTTGAAGAGTATCATGAATTTAAAGCAATAAAAAGAAGGATCTTTGTTATGTTTGAAATGACCCCCATTTACCTGGTCAGTCCCTTAAGAAAGGAAATGGAACTGAAAACAGTGCTCTCTGAAATATCCCTAGGCCTGTGCCAATCCAGTTAGTCCATTATTATTTGATGCAAATATCCAGCCCCAGGTGACCAGTTGGTGGCTGTCTGCTAAACTACGTAACAAATGCCATCCAAAGATGGCATCTGCAGAGACTGCTAATCTATGGATGATTCTAACCCCGCTGTTAAGTGACATCACAGATTATGAAAAGAGTGAATTCATTCATTCAAAGTGAGGAAACTTATTCATAATGTACATGTAACAACAAACAAGCATTGAAAGAAGGAATATACGGTCACTTGAAAAGGGAAGGTTTTTGAATCCAATGGTCTTTTTTCCTGAATGTGGTTTGTATGATCATCACCTCAGTCTTTTTCTAGATATGTCTTGCTGCAACAACACTGAGGTCATCAGAGATCAGTATTCCCATCGAGCAGATAGCAGGACTTTTCTTTTGTTGCCGACTTGCTGCTGATCTGTCAAACATTTGTTTCTTTCTAAACTGATATTAGTTTTGTTCTTCCTAATTTCTAAACAACTGAGTTTTCTTGAAAATTTCTGCCACGTCTTGCTTGCACTTAACCTGGTATTGTTCATTCATGAAGACTTTTTAATAAAAATGTTACAGGACCTTCTTCTTTAGTGCCTTTCCACTGTGAATACCTATTGAATGAATTGACAAATCTGGGAATTGATGGTTGTAAAAGGAGCTCTGTACCTTTCTTGGTTTTATGGATATTAACACTTAAAGGAGTAGGGCTGAGAGACAAAAGGGTCTTCAATATAGCCTCTGGGACCTCCAGGGTTTCAGGCCTCACAGTGCTAGGTAGGCTGTGTTCCCTCAAAGCCATTTACCAATCTTGTGATTGACTGCTTGGAACTGAATCCCCTCTATCTCTTCCTTCAGATCTTATTAATGAAATTCTATCTGAGGGTTCATAATCCAGAAAAACATTTGTTATCTAATTATTTCTGTTATCCAATCATGTCTGTATATAGAGCCTTCTTTTCCAAAAGCAAACCTGTATCCAAACTTCCATAATGGCCTCAGCAGATATATGTGGCCATATTTATTAGAAAGTATAAATAATGTAGTAATTCTCTATATGGCACACTTAGTAGGGAGAAACAGATCATATTATTAGACCAAAAAAAAGCCAGAAAATATAGTTTTGAGATATGGAGAAAGCATTGAATGGAACTTTATTCAGATTGGAACTGCTCCTCGCATAAATGCGTTCAAAATGGGACAGAAAATCTTTATATAGCCTTAGGAACAAGGGAAAGAAGCTTCTTTTAGGTCTATTACAGAGGTGCTAAATCTTGTCCTAAGCTGTTAATGTTATACTTTGAGAGAAGAAAACATATCTGTGACCACCAGATTGAGCCTTCACTAAAAATTAAAAAGTAGGAAAAAAGGGTTTGGTGACCATCCGCCAAATGTGTTCATGGTGTCGCCTTTTGGAATACTTTTTTTTTTTTTGAAAGCGAGTTTCACTCTTGTTGCCCAAGTCGGAGTGCAATGGTACGATGTCAGCTCACTGCAACCTCTGCCTCCTGGGTTCAAGCAATTCTCCTGCTTCAGCCTCCCAAGTAGCTGGGAATACAGCTGCCACCACACCTGGCTAAATTTTTGTATTTTTAGGAGAAACAGAGTTTCACCATGTTAGTCAGGCTGGTCTCGAACTCATGACCTCAGATGATACTCCTGCCTCGGCCTCCCAAAGTTCTGGGATTACAGGTGTGAGCCACCATGCCCAGCCTTGAAATACTTTCTTCTATGTACTTCAGCTTTCCCTGTCCTCAACTCTGCCTCTGTCATTCTCCTACAGCAAACATGCCAAGCCATGCTTTACCCCACGATGCAACCATCCTGGTGGTCTACTTTTCTGGTAGCATTCCACACGAAGAACTTTTCACCACTTCTGTTTTTTAATCAAAACTTTTTATCTAATCAATCCTTCTACTATCTAAATAAGTTTATGCTAAGGCATTATAAAAACTGGAAATGACCTGCTCAGATTATTCCTGCCAGGGTTATTTGTATTCCAGTAATATCACAATACCTTGAGCTAAAGACATTACTCCCAATTCATGACTGATGGGCCTGGTGGCAGACAAGTGGAAGACATTGGGAGAATGAGTGCATAGGGTGGAATTCCCTGGCTTTCTGAATAAAACAGTTCACTCAGTGGCAGATGGTTCAAGTTTCCTTGCCTTTTACTCTTGCCACCTATACCTTTTAAAATCACATTTGTCAACTGATGACTGTTTCCATTAGCAACCTAGGGACCCCAACTGACAAGGAGCATGCACTACTCCTAAATACATACTGTAATTTTTGAACATCAAAAAACATATGCTAAACATTCTTATCAGCTAGAGTTCAAGAGTTTTTTTTTTTAATGGACTATTCAATATTTGAATTTGATTTACCAAATCTACCCAGGTAAGGGTTTTTTCTTGTCCAGAAGACTTACGATTTACCCTTCCTTCCTCTCTATAATCTTTGAGTAAAATAAAAAACTGATTTCTATGTGTGTATCTACAATTTCCAACTTAAATGCGGTTCTGAGAAAAATTTCATTTCCCTATCTGTATTTATTTGAGTTCAGTTTAATTGCAATGAGAGAAATAATACATATTGTACATAACATATATGTGGTCTTAAACCTTATAGTGTCTATTTCTAATTCTAGGGTGCAATTAAAAGGAACTTATCCAGTAAGTATATCTTAGCTACCAGAAATAGCATATGATTTAAAAGAAGGAATAGTTCCTTGGATCTTGGAGTATATATACATATGAATTATACATTCTTGGGCTTAATTTTTATTTTTTTTTTTTACTTTTACAGCAAAGAATTCTTGTAATGATAGAGGGCCCCTGTGAGTGATTAATATTTAAGTTCTGAAGATAAATATTTTAATTGCTATTTTCTGTCTATATTTGTCAACTCTTGCTATATTGTTTAACTTTAGAAATGAATTTAATCAAGTATGTATTTGATGCTAGGGGTGGGAAGAACAGGGGGGCAGAAGGAACTGAAAGTAGAAGCAACTTACCCATTCTTTGATATAAGAATGTTAGTCAACCAAAGTGATATAAGTTATAACATACATAGGGCTCAATTCTCCTCTGCTGCATACAACACATACTAGGAAATTCTAAATTCATGGTTCATAGTTAAAGATACATTTTCTTGGCATTTCAAGAAAAGAACAGGCAGAGAATGCTGGATTCATGTACTACACATATGGCCTGGCTTAGTATTTTCTTAATTGGAAAGCAGAACCAGTCAAGGCAGCAGACATTCCAAGAATGGCATGCTCTTTCACTAAGCACTGCAGTATACAAATCTTCTCTTTGATGGCTTGTCACCGGAAGTTCCTCAGTTAATGAGGTTTTACAAATGCCAGAGAAAACACCACTACATATGCCTAATATATGGCTGTTGCATTGCCAAGGGAGAAGGTTTGTTTTGTAAAGTTTTCATTTGAGTTGCTTATTGATGAGACGTAAATCTCTAAGTGTTTCCAAACATAGGTTATAAGACGTATCAGGGAATGGTAAAAAATATGTCTAAATAGTTCCTTTGTCCTGTGCATCAGGTGAAGAAGTGGCAAGACCCAGGCGTTCCACACCAACTCCAGAACTTATAAGGTGGGTGTGAAAGACGTTAGTTGTGTTTTATGAAAGGCATCAGGAACTTTTAACAAGTAAGCAAATCTCCTTTGGGCTAAACTCTCAGCTCCCATTAATAAAGGATCTACTAAAACATGTCAGTTCAAATGTCCATAGCATGGTCCCAATATGTTATTATTTTTCGTAAGTCAGCCCAAGGGAGACCTTTAGGGAAATACTCTGCATTTATCTGAAGTAACTGTCTATCAGAATGTTCAGTCCCCTTCCTGATGGGGCCACCAAAGTTCTCTAAAGAGGTCTTTTGGTGTCTGGAATGCTGATCTACAATATCATTATGTTACCCTATGAAAAGAAGCCTGTCTAGTTGGATACCATCTCATGATGCATTCCACCTGCCACACACTGAAGGAATTTTCCATTCTGCTTTTAGCTTTTGGCAAAGCATTGTATTTTACAGTGTACTCTGTGGGTTAGGTAAGTATTGTACAAATGGGCATTGTTTTATAAGAAGACTGCTATTTCTATTTATAAACTGGATTATTTTCAATATTTATCCTCCTTCTCCAACCTCTCTCCTCTCCTTTTCACTCCTTACCCCTTACCATACACACATAGACCTCATTGGGATCAATAAGGGGAATCAGATTTGGAGAAGAAATGAAGATAATCATGCATCATTTTCTTAATAATCAGTCTGGAGTAATAATTAAGAGAAGGGATGCCAGTGTAACTTATTATCCTCCTGTTCCCCTGATTTCTCAATATTTCTCCTTCTGAGATTTATTGTATCAGGGTATTAGGAGGTTATAACTAGTCTATTGAAGGATGAAACTTCTCAGTAGCTTTTTATTTAATATCCTTATGCCTGACTTTCACTACTTATAAACTGCATTAACCACAACACAGAGATGTGGTGAAATCAAATATAAATGGTATTTGAGATCTTGGGGAGAAAGGTGCTTTGCAATAAACTCTCATCTCTAGTATTATCTCTTCTAGGTATAGAGAATCATGATGCTTTGAAAGAGTTATTCTCCTTCAACTTATTTCTATTGGATGAGCACCTCAGCCCTCCATTGAGAACTAAGGATCTCACCTTCTACCAGTTCTTTTGTCCCATAATACATCTGACATCCTTATAAAATCATTTCTAGTCCTAATAGAGCTTGTACGTACATGCATGCATGCATGCACTAGTGCACACACACACACACACACACACACACACACACACTTGTTTTACTGAGAAAAATATGTGAAGGCTTGTATATATTTTTGAGCAATAATTTTTGAGCCTTTTCCCTCTATTTTGCCCTAATGTGTATGATTTAGCAAAAAGCCTCCGGATGACACTATGGCCCTTGCTCCTCTCTTTGGCCCACCACTAGAATCAGCTTTTGATGAACAGAAGGCGGAAGGTAGGAAAAGAAACTATATGTATTATAGATTTGTTTTTTCTTTTATTAAAGTACAACTTTTCTAGATTAAATGTATGTATTTTGAAGGATACTTTTAATATATTATTCTCATGGGAAGGAAAAATTCCAATCTAGGTGTGCTGTAAAGCGTAGGAGTTTAGTTTTCAAATCTCTTTATTTTAGGATTTGAAACTTTATTTCAATAAATAGCTAATATTTCTAACAAGTTCATTCTTCAAAAGAAATCAGTAAAAATTACTGCCTATCTACACATATCCCTGTCATGGAGTAAATGTTCTGGGAGCCAGACCGTCACCATTTGAGGTATCAACAGGTTCACAAATGGAGACAGACCTTCATATACCCGTCATTGTCACCATCATTGGGGTCTAGCCTCCCTGACCACATTTGCTCTTTCCACTTCATAATGAAGGCATCAACTGGATTTCTCACAACAGTCATTGTTTGCTGGCTCAAGACCCAGGAATGACCTTGAATCATTTAGAAAATTAGAAATAAGGCCAGGCATAGTGGCTCACTCCTTCAATCCCTACACTTTGGGAGGCTGAGATAGAAGCATTGCTTGAGCCCAGAAGTTCGAGACCAGCCTGGACAACATATGGAGACCCCCATTTCTACAAAAAAGAAAAACTTAAAAATTAGCTGGGCATGTTGGTGCATACCTGTAGGCTTAGCTCCTCGTGAGGCTGAGGTGGAAGGATCACTTGAGCGGAAGTCAAGGTTGCAGTGAGCTGTGATGACATCATTACCCTCCAACCTGGGCAGCAAAGCAAGACCCTACCTAAAAAAAAATAATAAATAAAATAAAAATACAATGCTGCTGAAGAAATATCTTTATTTCAGCCATTATTATTGAGATTACCTATTAAATATTTATTTCTAGAGTTAAATATTTAACTTTTTAAAATTAACCCTGTTTTTGGATGGCTGTAAATACTGTGTGCTTTACTGATATAAAATCAACTTTCTATAAAATGTATCTTATCTATTCCTGAAATGTGTTTATGGCTAATGCATGCATCTCCAGTAGCTATTTTTGGTAATATAAAATGTCTTTATAAAAAATTATTTGATTTAGGAGCACCCTGGTAAATATATAATAACATGTTATCTTTCTAGAACCTATTGGTGAAGGGTATTAAGTGTTAAAGATGATAAGAATTAGAAGCACAATGAGTAGACTAAGCTGCATTAACAAAGAGACGCCAAGTACAGTAAATTAAACAAGATAGAATTTTCTAACTCTTTCATGTTAACAGTCTAGAAGTAAACAATAGAGGACTCCTAGAGTAGCTCTGCTGTCTTCAAAATGTTACTTTTATCTCTGGCTCCAAGGAGACTGCTGAAGCTCTCTTCTCCCATTCAGAAGAAAGGAAGTGGGGTGAGGACACTGAAACTCACTGCTAACTATTCTAAGAGCAAAACCTGAAGATACACAGGTCACTTCCTGCCAAAGCCGAATGGACAGAATTTGGTGCCATGTAGCCAGCTACGATTCTGTTACTACAGAGGAACTGGAGAATGACTTCTGAGAGATAGCCAGCAGTCAGCCACACCTGATTATTTTCAATGTTTTTGTTAGGAAAACGTACAAAGAACATTTCTAAATACTCCCTTAGTGATTTAAATGTCCGTAACTTAGAATCCCTATGTAAAGATGGCCTTGCAGTGAGACAATCATTTCCTTATTGACTCATCTGTGATCGATCTCACTTTTCATGACATAAGTGTATGGTGACTGGAGATGGGATTTGATTTGTTGCACCTAAATCTGCCTGCTTAAGGAATCCCATAACTATTTGGAAACTTTACATAAAAAATGGAAATCATTCTTAAAAAGCAAAGCTGTGTTCCGCATTGAATTCATGAAGAACATGCTGTTTCATATCTTTGGAGAATGTCTGCTTTCATGTTAAAACAGAGCGAAGACCATCTTTGAGGTTTGTGATAGAGAGGAGACACATACCTGGACGTGTCCATTATCGTGGACTCAACTACTCTTTAAATGACTTCATCCCCTGAAGTCCTGTAAAGTTCCTGCATTTGTACCAATCACACTACCTCTTTCAATACCCACACTTCCCTTTCGTACCTACTCATTCTTCTTTAGATCGATTTTTTATGTTTCTTTCTCTTTTTTTTGAGACAGGATCTCACTCTGTCACCCAGGCTGGATTGCAGTGGCAGGTTCTTAGCTCACTGCAGCCTCGACCTCCCACAGTGATCCTCTAGCTTCAGCCCCCCAAAGTAGCTGGGACCACAGGCACATGCCACCTCACCTGACTAATTTTTGTATTTTTTGTAGAGACTGGGTTTCACCATGTTGTTTAGCTGGTCTTGAACTCCTCGACTCAAGCAATCCTCCCATCTCAGCCTGCCAAAATGCTAGGATTATAGCTATGAGCCACCGTGCCTGGCCCAGAAAACATTTTTTCTGTCACTAATTGAAATGGCCTGGGGAAAAAAATGTGTATTTTAGAGTTAGGTATGCCTGCATCAGATCTTAGCTCTTCTGCTTTTACCGTGGACACCTCATTCAACCACTCCAATCATTAGTTTCCTCTCCCACAAGTGGAACTGGTGTCAACCACATGGTGGGGTTGTGAGTATTCAAATAAATAATAATAGCTACTGGCCTTCTGATACATGTTTTACATACATTTTATATGCACTATATTAATATCTCTTTCCTCCATTAATCCTCCTCATAACTCTCTAAGGTCACTTTTATTATCTCCACTTTACACGGAAGGAAGGCAGCACAGAGAGGTTAAGTAACTTGCCGCGGTCCTATCAGTGCAGAAGATAGATTCAAACCCCATCCAACTGACTTCCCGGCCTGTCCTAGATGACATAATGAGTTACAGCAGCGCTCGCATAGCCCCTGACACAGGATAGATGCTGAGAAGCACTAACTATTTACATTGCCGTAGCTATTTTAAAAATCAGAACAGGAAGAAAAAAGGAGAAGAAATATTGAATTTAGTGTCCTTAGACCCAAAACCTAATTGCCCTATGTTAGATATCTAAATACTTACTTTTCTGGCTCTCTTAACATATTCACCAAGCATTTTTAGAATAATATAATTCCTTTTTATGATGCTGTAAAAGGTTTATTTAAAGACCCTGTAGAACCATTCAAGGATAGGAACCACTGCACAGAACCCAGACATTTTCAGTTTTGAAGCATATTCATAGGAGACTTTAAATAAACCAACTTACAACAAAACAAGTGTCCATGGGGTTAATGTCTGGATTTTCAAATGGGCACCTGAGACAGAGCCAGCACATCTACTGATACTCAGAATGTCCTTAAGTGACCACCCAGAAAGAAAATGCAGATTCTGCACTGAAAGTTTTTATGTAGCTATATGTACACACACAGACACCCCTCCCACCCACACTCACACCACACTCCTATTTCTATTCTCTGCTTGAAAAGAATAAGGAGAGGCACATTCCTAAATTTATTTTTTAGTACTGAGACAAGAAGAAAATAATTTTGTAAAGCTCAACTTGAAATGTTAAGTTCTAAAGTATGGGGATTTTTTTTTTAACTCACCCTGGGACATTTTCTTTTTTGTTTCCAGTTCTTTTAGATCAACCTGAGATATGGGGTTCAGGCCAACCAATTAATCCAAGCATGGAGTCGCCAAAGTTAACAAGGCCTTTTCCCACTGGAAGTAAGTTATGTGTCTGCTCTGTCTGGAAAAATAAGTGACTCATTTTACTGTCTGTCTGCATAGTGAAATTAGGCAACTCTTAGAAAGTCTACATAAGCAACGTTAGAACTGAGTAATATTAAGAAGAGATGTTATTCTCACAGGCTTTCAAGTTAAAGAGCTAAGAGCAGGTTACGAAGACAGGAGGAAAATAATACAATAAAGCAAATTGTTAACTTTGAATCATAGCCTTTTCTGAAATACCACGTGCTTATTCATTTATTCACTGTATATATGTAAGAATAGGTATATATCTGAAATCCCACATTCTTATTCATTCATTGTATATACGAACGTAGTAGGTTATTTAGCTGACTTGCTTGTTATTCTTACATATATACAATGAATAAATATATATTACATATTTATATTGTACGTATATACAATGAATAAATGAATGAATTTATTGACGTATATATTTATCCATTGTATATATGTAAGAATAAGAAGCAAGTGGGCTATTAACCTACTGCGTTCCAGGCATTAGGCTATCATACATCACAGAGGTGAACAAGTCTGATACGGTCTCTGCTCATCCTACAGAAAAACTGAGGCTGCATAGTACAGAAAGGACACATTGAAAGGAAAGAGTGACAATTAGGGAACAAGAGAAATGAGGCTACCTGGTAGAGAGAAACTGAGACACTAGATCAGAGTACATTTATGTGAAAGTTGCCATTAGCCTGGCTTCTTCAGCATGGCCCAGGCGGCTGGGGAAGGAGGTGCTGAAAATCTGGATAGCCCTTCACGGGTGATGGGTTCGCTATTTAGACCGAATGGACTGTTCACCAGGTGAAGCCACCCTTCTTACAGATTTATTGAATTCCCTTTTCAGTAGACTGCCTCTGAAACATGCCTGTGGAAGGCACTCTTTGAAGAATTGGATTTCAAAAAAAAGGTGTTTGGGGAACGGGGGAGATGCAGAGGGTATTTTCATCCTTTGGGCTCACATACAGACCGACTAATACTTTTTCCAGTTCAGCATCTTCAGAGTTTTGCTTCTTGGTGCCTAAACATGATCATGAGAATTAACCAAGGGGATTCGTAATCAAAGTCCAAGAGGTTATTTGTTGGAAATAATATTGCTATAAAGCCATGTGATCTAGCCTTTCCGAAGATATTTCCCTCATTAAACAGGATAGGAAAAACATCATTATCAACCATTTTTGTTAAAACTTCTAACTTTAAAAAATGTATTTTTAAAATATTTAAACCATGCTTTTGTGGCATGATTTTGAATGTCTTTCCCTGCAAAACAAAGCCAGTGAAAAAGCTGTAACTTCCTTGAAAACCTTTCATTACAGACCTGAGCTATCCAAGTGATCCCTGGCAAGCCCTTTCCTAAATGTCAAGGGAGTAAATGAATTGTTTATGGAGGTGATGGATTGGTTTTGACTGCTGGTGTTTCAGAGTTGTGAGTCTTACGTGCGGTGGTTACACTTAGCACAGCAGAGGCTGTTGCTTGGTTGATGTCCATTGTGTCATTCTGCTCATTTTGTAGTTGCAGCATAGCTTTTCTATTTTAGATTATTAGGCTTTTATAGTATTTTATTTGTTTTTATGGTATTTTGTTGATTATAACCTTGATTTTTGGCAGAAATCTTTAATTAGGAGCAGAACCCCTGATTGACTCTTAACTTCCATGGGAAAATATGATCCACTAGAGGTGTCGTTTTCAGAAGCTCATCACTGAGATTAAGAACCACATATTGCTAGGCTTTAGGATGAGGGTTGTTAGTCATACTTGCTGTGTGGAAAAACAGGATGCTGCCTAAAAATAATAAATAAAGTATGGGAAGGGGAGGAGGAGGGAGGAATGACAGAATAAGCTTCTTCCTAATTTAGGCAGGTGGAAGGTAACCAGCAGGCACTCTCCAGCCATGTGCCCACCTGCCGCCCTCTACATTTAGGTTGTGAGAGATTGGACAGCATTCAGATTCACAACTAAACTTTGGGGTGGCCTATGACATTTATGTGAATGCTTTGAATCTACCAAATAGGGCCAGTGACAAGAAAACATACTCTTAAAGAAAGAGGAAGAAGAAATGGACCCACTGAAACAGTAATTCCAAACTTTGCCCACAAAGTGACAATCCAGCTTGGAAGGGTGGATCTCTTGGTAGGGGCCATGATACTTGTTTTGGCTGTAATTTTTATCAGAGGAATCTATTCATTCCTCCTTGACCCAAGGAGGGTCACTTTGCTTCTAACTTTTAAAAATGTACTAAAATTTAGGAAATATTATTTTGAGATATCTTTCTGGACTCAATCCAGGCCGTCAATCCTGACCGGATTAAAAACCTTTCACAGGAGCCCTCACCCAGTCTGTTAGGTCCGTAATTAAACCCTCGACTGTTACTGTCAGCTAACATGATTTCATTCAGTCAGTGAAAAAATCCCTTGAGGGCAGAAGCTATTTTTATTCAACCCTATGACCCTAGTTCCTAGTACAGGAGGCAGGACTTAGTTGTGGCTTGAGGTTTGTGTGTTGAATCATATTTAAGTGAATAAAGTGGTGATATTATTGTCCGACATTCTTTTGATGATCTCTTATTTTCATAAAATGGAAGAATCTGAATGGGTTCTGCTTCAGTTCTTTGACTTTGAACTAAAATCTATATAGGCCACTAATTGCTATTCCATTTCCAATAGCAGGAATATAACTGAAAGTTCAAATCCTGCTTATTTGAAGTGTGTAACTATTGTGTAACTTAGGAAGAACATGATCAATGATACTTGGTTTCTCATCTCTATGCAGCACCTCCACCACTGCCTCCAAAAAATGTACCAGCTACCCCACCCCGAACAGGATCCCCCTTAACAATTGGACCAGGTAAGCTTTTGTTTTTTCAGTTCTGGGATAGCGTGTCAAATAGAATAGAGCAATGACCCAGACAAACATGCCCTTGATGTGCCGAAAACTGTAGGCTACACTAAAACGTTACAGTGTCATAATTTAGTTTTGCTTCCATTAGAATTTCTTATGCAGACTTATTTTAAAGCATGACTGCCAGGTTTCACACACACACAAATTAGTAATAATTTCTCAATTAAATTTTTCCTTGGTATAATGTTGTTGAATGAGGGCCATTTTATAAAATGAAAGGAAAAAATCTCTATATGAAAAGTCATTGTTTAATTAACCCCTCACTTCTTTGGATCTCATTTTAATGATTTACAAATTCATAGTCTTCAAGCCCAATTGGTATTCTTTCAAGACAATTTCCTGAGACTAAAACTATCTAGTCTATGAAGACATAAAATGGTTCCCAGGGTGTGCAGCATACTGGTGGTGGTGAAATTCTTTTTCCAGTGGTCATTCAAGTATTTATTACCCCATGGCAAAGAGCTATATAAAGATTATGAAATATGGCAAGAAATTGCTACATGCCTGTAGACAGATAATGCTTAAGGCACACCTTTATCATCTATTAAAATCAATGCTATGTATTCATACAATTTATAGCCTGCCAAGTCTTACTGGACTAGCAAATCAAAAATAGTAATAGCTGTTTTATGTGCCTGGGCCCTTAGAATGTGGTTCTTTATCACTTTCGGAATTCTATTGCAGCTTCATCCTTTTATGCAGCCTGGTGAGTTTGATAGCTGCAGAGTGGGCATTCATCAACAAAAGCAAAAGCAAGATGTAGTCATTTATGAAATTTATATTGACTCAAACCCAATAGAGAGTCATCCAGAGCTTCATAAGTAAAGATGTTTGCAGGTTCAAGCCATTTTGGCCCCTTGTATTTCCACGAATTGTGTTAGATATAAATACACCTCCTAGCACAAGATTATAAATATTGGGGACCATGCAAAATGCTTCCCCATTTATCTGTAGCCTTGGAACCTTGAAAGTTAATTCCTTTTAAATCAGAAATATAGAAATACTAAGACAGTTCATCTAGTTCAAGAGTTATATAAAGATAAAGTGACTTCTGCTCTTGCTTTTCAGTTATTTAGGTAACAATTTCTAATGTGAATAATCTCAGTTTTTAAAAAGTGCATTTCTTCATACAGAGCTGTAGAAGATAGTTAATTTTTTCTCTTATTGCTATGAATTAAAAAGAATAGCTGATGCTGATGTTTCAGCAAAACAGAGACTTTTCGGTATCATGATATCCTATAACTAAATATCAGTTATGCCTGTGATGTTGACAGGTTAGACTTAATGAGAAAAGAAATTATAAAAAATTTTTAAATTATTTTCTTCCCTATTAAGCAGGTAGATATGTAACAGTTCTAATAAGTAGCAAATGCCTCCTCAATAATCTGTGTGTGTGTTGTGTATGGGGTGTGTATATCTGTATTTGTATCTTTGTGGTGATAACTTCTTAATCTTTGTACTGTGTTTCTGGTGTTTTTAAGGTTAAGGATATGCAGCTAAATATGATGTTACTTTTTTTAATTAATGAACATTATAATCAGTTTCACCAAAGTCTTGATTTAGTATACTGGAGTAGACAATCTTTATAAAATATGAGGATGACTTTCACTTCTCAATTCTTTTTATATTGTGTGATGTGTATTTCAGTAGGCCAGATTTTCAGAAGGGACCTTGCTTTTGGACCTTGCTTTTTGGAGAAGTCCCAGAGCCTGTAATTCTCTGTGAATCTAGCACTGCCTTGTCAAAATGTTCACGCTGTGTTCACCTGTGGGCAGCCTTTGAGAGCAGTATCATGCACAGCACTTTAAATGACGGTAAAAGTAGCTAGCTGTGCTCAGCTTGCAAAAAAGAGTAAATAATAGCATAAAAATATGATGCTCACTTTACGGAGCGGGAGATCTCTCCCCTCACCTTCAGCTCCTAATCCAATAAAGATATTTTTACATCATGAAGTATGCCCACTGAGGCACCTCACACAGCAATGTATTTTCCAATCTTTGCCTCCCTCCCTCACTCCCCACACAAATCATAAGTCAATTGAAATTTAAAATCAACTACTTTAACCACAGGAAATGACCAGTCAGCCACAGAGGTCAAAATTGAAAAACTACCATCCATCAATGACTTGGACAGCATTTTTGGCCCAGTATTGTCCCCCAAGTCTGTTGCTGTTAATGCTGAAGAAAAGTGGGTCCATTTTTCTGATACATCTCCGGAACATGTGACTCCGGAGTTGACTCCAAGGGAAAAAGTGGTGTCCCCACCAGCTACACCAGACAACCCAGCTGACTCCCCAGCTCCAGGCCCTCCCGGCCACCCAGGTCCCACGGGCCCCCCAGGGCCTCCTGGGCCTCCTCGCAATATACCATCGCCGCTCAATTTAGAAGAAGTCCAGAAGAAAGTCGCTGAGCAGACCTTCATTAAAGATGATTACTTAGAAACAATCTCATCTCCTAAAGATTTTGGGTTGGGACAGAGAGCAACTCCACCTCCCCCACCACCACCCACCTACAGGACTGTGGTTTCGTCCCCCGGACCTGGCTCAGGCCCTGGTACAGGGACCACCAGTGGTATGTCTTATGCTTGAGTGTGCTTCGTGTGACCGGGAATGGCCGTGGCTGCTGCAGTGTGAGCAACACCCTCCTCCTGCCTGGCAGCCGGCTTCAGAGCTTCAGCCCTCATGCCTCTGGTCTGGGTGCCCTGTGGCCCCACAGCATGTCCTAGTTCATCAGATGCTCGCAGTCATGGTCCCAGTCTGTGGATGTGTTCTGCCTTGCACTCCCAGCCCTTAGGTGTGCCCTGCCGTCCACCCTGCATTTAGGAGGTCTCGATTTCTAAAACAAAGCTGTCATGCCATTGTTTGGAATTCAGGAAAGTCCTAGGAAGACAGATTTCACAGAGAGTGGGTTTCATGTTAAATGTCTGATTTCCTTGCTGGATGCCTCCACAAGGACACTAGGTTTTGTGGTTCAGTGTGTTGTGTGTATATGTAGGCAGGCAGGAGAGGGTGAATGGGCTTCTTTTTTTTTTTTTTTTCTTTTCTTTTCTTTTTTTTTTTTGGTTGTGGGAGAACTGTGTTAACCCCTCTGATTTCTTTAGAAGAAAAGATGTAAGATTTAAAAAGGATATTTTAGGAAAAGACAAAAGAAGAAAAAGGGATACATATACTGCAACCCTAATCTAATCAAGCTGTCACTGAAGACAAACTTGTTTTCTGTTCTCACCGTTTGACACACTCATCAGGCTATGAGGTCAACTCTAAGTGTGGTGACAGGTGATGGAGTCTGCCGATTCTGACATTGAATTTTATTGTTTTTCTGATTTGAAGCTTCATTTTGTGTTTTTTAATAATGAAAGCATGGATCACCTGCCATGCACACCAAAGCAATATCAAGATTTTCAAATGCATCTTCCCCCATATCATTTATTCCACTGATGCCCAAATTTGTCTGACAACAGCCCCCAGTGCTTTCCTTCCTGTGCACGTGAGTTCAGTTTAGGGACCTTCGGGGGGGTGCCATGTATTTGTTTTGCATTTGATGTGAAAGAGGCAGTAAAGCACAAGGTACTTAAATCTAGTAAGAGACAGAAATTACAAATGCTTCTGTGCTTAAAGTGAGAGCATCCATGGTGGTCAACAAGAGGGCTAGGTGTTCACCTGGACTGCACACAAAACCAGTGTTTTTTATCATTAGGTGCGTATGTCCCCAGGTCCTCATCCCCCCAAAAGGAAAACTATTCAATATCAGCAGGTATTTTTACCATAGGACCTTTGGGAGTCTTTACTTTGCAAATAATAGAAACTGTAGTTTCTTGTCCTGGGCACCACGCTGTTCGGTTGCTTTGTTTTGCTTTGTTTTTAGACAGAGAGTCGCTCTGATACCCAGGCTGGAATGCAGTGGTGCCGTGTAGGCTTACTGTAACCTCTGGGTTACAGTCTCGTGGGTTCAAGTGATTCTCCTGCCTTATCCTCCCTAGCAGCTGGAATTACAAGTGCATGCCACCACACCTGGCTAATTTGTTTGTATTTTCAGTAGAGACAGGGTTTCACCATATTGGCCAGGCTGGCGATCAAACTCCTGGCCTCGAGTGATCCACCTGCCTCGTACTCCCAAAATGCTGGGATTCCAGGCGTGAGCCACTGCGCTCAGCCTTATCTGCTTTTTGGCCTAAATGCTTTTTGTACATTATTTCATACAACACCACCATGTAGTAGATACTGTTATTTTTCCCATTTTACAGGTGGGAAAACTGAGGCTCAGAGATATCAAGTAATTTGCTCAAATTTACAAGCTGGAGGCAATGGACTGGATTCATACTCAGCTGTCTGATCTGGAGCCTATGTTGTTCACCAGTGTGCTCTCCAGGCACTTTTGTAAGGTTTAGTCGTAAAGATTCCAAACTTATTTGACTACTGAGACCTGTCTGCACTGCACAGTGTCATCAATAAGATCACTGAAAGTCTTCTCTCAAAATGTACTCCTCTGTGCTCCTCTCCCTAATTCTAGAGGGTTACAGCATCCATCTTCATCCCTCTATTGTTTTCTTAGGTCTTTTATGGGATACGAAGCTCCTTATCAATCTATAAAGATAATAAAGAATCAGTATGTAAAGCCTCCAACCACACAGCCAGAAAAACATTAGTTGTCCATTGTAAAAGAGGGGTGTGTACTTCTGTTTTCTATGCAGCGCTCCTAATCCAGGCCCTCAGTCTTCTGAAAGGACATTTAAAGAATATCCACCTCCCTCCACAGGTAGGCCACAATGCTCTCCTCAAACGAAACACCTTTAGCCAGGCGTAGGGAGGACAGGTGGTTTTGGTAATTCATCTGTGTTTCATCTAACACCTTTAATAAAGCTCTCGAAGACACTTGTTCAATTGAATTTACCACTGATCTAATTAGGAAGAAAGGAACTTTCGTTTTCTTTCTGGAAAATTTGAGAGTTTTGTGGTGATTTTTAATGTTTAGCTTCCATATCCTTATTTTAAATTATTTTAAAATGTTACCAGTAAAGACTTGATTCTTAATAATTGAGCTGGAAATAGCTTGACTTTACTAGTATTAAAAGATTGGATTTCTAAGTAGAAGATTGAACTGGGTCACTGAAGCCCATGAATAAATAAAACTCTGCAGCACTGTCTCCTTAATTAAGTCCCAGTTTATTTGCTGCTTAATCTTTCATTGATAGAACATACACAAGCTGGCGGAAACATAAATTTGAGATTGATACAATAGGTCATGGCCTCATGTTTTAAAGATTAGCAATGCTTCTCACTACTTGCTTTTTATAGCATTAGGCCTGATGAAACTAACTTTCTTGCACTTCTCAAAGCATATTTAATTATATATCACTATGCATTCATTTTTAAAATTGTATTCACAGCAAGGTGACTGTCACTGACCAAGTATAGACAGTACTGACAACCTTGTGAACCAGAAGAGTTACCTGCTGTTGAAAAGCAGTTGGAAGTTAAGAATTTGCTCCAAGAACTTCAATTTCCTTATGGCAAAAAGTTATCAATATAAATATACCTATTTTGCTCAGAACAGTACTTAACCGGAATGCAGACACTGGTTCTTGGCAAAGGCTATCTCTTCTCTCATGTGGGTTGCATGCCAGAGGTCGGGGGGGAAAGAGTTTTGTTGGCTTGCACCATGTTTGGGGGCCAGGGAAAGAAAGGAGGAAGTAAAGAATGTTCAGTGCAACATTTTCCAACTTGGGAAACTAAAGATGTTATATGCAAACATACAAATCAATAAACAAATGAGTCTGAGCTACCTGGGGTTAAATTAACCGAATATATTTTCTAACTACAAGCCTTTCAGAGCAGCGATGTCCAATAGAGTAGTCCCTAGCCACGTGGGGTTATTTTAATTATACTCTTGGTTGCTCAGCATTGCTGTAAAAAGTCCATTCTTTACATACCGTAGCCACAATTCAAGTGCTCAGTGGCTACATGTGGCTAGCAAATCTACTAACAGTTCTAGAACGTTTTCACATGGCATAAAGCTCTATTAGTAATGTTTCAGGGCTTTTAATGTGTTAGTCATCAAAAAGAGAAACATAGCATGTAATCATTTATATGTATATTTAATAGTTTTTTTCAAAGAAATGGTATAATGATGTTCTAAGAAACACAATGTGGGAAAGGTTGTTTAGCTCTTCACATATTTCAAAGTGCCTATGTTTTAATGCACTTGATTCTCCCAGCAACGACATGGTCTGTTAACCTCATTTTGTGGATAAGGAAACAAGCTTAAAAAGGTAACTTAGCTGTGGTCATAAAGCTAGTAAGTTGCTGAGCCAGGATCTGCACCCCCCCGGATCTATTGGATTCCACGGGCTGTGCCTTGACCCCTTCTTCCAGCTGCTTCCACTGCTCTAGCCCAACATACACTTTAAAAAAAAAAAAAGAGATGAAAGTTGCAGCTGTAGATATGCGGTCTTCGGAGGTTGCCAAGGAAATTGATTAAACCAGGTTGAGAACAACAAATGGATTGAGAGCATGTCGATGATTGCCAACCTTTTTAACTCACAAAACTCAATGTATTTTGGTTTTTTAATTTAAACCTTAAAGAGTGGTGCTGTCCAAATCATTTTCCAGCATTGTTCTGGAAATAAACACTCTTTAAGGGGGAAATGAAAATGCAATTGAAAATTGAAGAGTGAAGATAAAGATGCACAAGGATAGCCATCTACATTCTTAAAATATGAAAAGATTGGGTAATTTCACAAAAGTATGTGAAGACTTAGTTCAGTTGTGAAATACTCCTCAGGACCTGAACATCCTCTGCTGAGCCTCGGGGTTTGGTCAAGCAGGGTTTTAACTGAAGTATCCTTTTGCTTCTTAAACACTCTTTCTTAGTGTCTTTCTAGCTGCACAACATATCAATTACTTCAATTCAGTACAGAAAAAGTGATTTCAATGGGGCATCCATAAAGGAAAACAATTTTCAATTAACAACTAACTTTTTTAAGTTTTTAGTTGTATTTGTATCAAAAAACACAATCTTAATCATCATCACCAGTATCTATTACTTTCCATTTGTGTAAAATTTTATATAGTCAACATTTTCATAAGCATTTTCAATTATATTTGTTAAAAATACCTTGCAAGATAGAAACAGTGTCTCACTTTTTAAAACAAGGAAGCTGAGGTTTCAGGCCAGCAAGGCCAGAACTCAAATCATCTGGTTCTTCATCCAGTGTTTTTTAGTATTCCACACTGCCTTGATCATGGCTCCTTAGTACTTTCCCAGGCATCACTGAAAGGAGTTTTAAATTTTTTTTCTGGAAAATGTAGGAAAAGAATAAACAGCTGGCACTTTTTTTAGATTGATTCAAAAGACTATTTTTGGAAACAGATCTACAGATAGACATTCTGGACCATTCCTATGGTATTGTTTTATGAAGCTAAATAGAACAACTCCTCCATCACCATAAAAAAAAAAAATGTCCTAAGACTTCACTGTTTAAAGATGTATTTACTCTATGCTGTTACTTCTGTCTTCTGAAAACATCCTGGGTGTAAATATACTGACACAATAATCAAAAGAAAACTTTGTAGTGGGGTCTGTCAAAACATACCATTTATTTTTAAGAGAAGATTAGCAAAAGACTAAAAACATCTATATTGAAAGAGAGATGTGCAAGCCAAGCAAAAGTAAGAACAGACTTTATGCAAAATGTGGGAGTCTACATCACAGTCCATCTCAAACTATAAGAGATTGCATTTAAGAGAGAGCATGGGCTTTGGAGGTACATACACAGTTTGACCTATGTGCCATTGGACAAGTTACTGAATCTCTGATCTTCAGATTCCACATAGATACCTAATAATACCTACCTCCAACATTTATTGGGGGGTAAGATATAATATATATGAAGTGCTTAGCATAGACCCTGACCCAATGGAGAATAAAAAGTAAGAATATGGGTGCTAGTAGTAGAAGAAGGTGGAGATAGAGAGGGAGTAGAAGAAATAATTGGTAGGATTTCACACTAATATGATTACACACAGAATAAACAGCACAGAGAAATACACTCAGGATTTCAGATTGTTTAAACAAGAGGAGCAAGGTTTAATACCCCAGGGACTCTCCTAAAACAGAGATTTCTGAAATGATAGGTTTTGCTGCTCAATTTTAAAGCTCTTGAGAATCTGAAAATTTGGAGACTGAGATGCTAATCTAACACTCTCCAGAGGTCCCAGTTTTGTGGCGTGTTGTTTGGGGGGCAGCAATGGGGCAGCAGGTGTGGGGGATGATGTGTGGGTATTTCCCCAGGGCAGGATTTCTTAGAATTTTCTTGGGACGATTCAATACCTCTGCTTCTAACCAGTGACAAAAACCTCAGGAGTAGTCAGAACTTTACTAAACAAGAACTGTTTGAACATTGATTTGACTTTTTTAAAGTTTTCAGTCAAGTTTCTCCGTGTATCTCAGACATATGACTGAAGTTAGGCAGATTCCTGAATTCAGAGACCCCACTGGTGTGCTGACTGATGTGCATGCCAGCCTCTGTGTGTCTTCTGTGTTTCATACGCTTGTCATTGACAGCCAGAAAAGTAAATCCAAGAGACTCTTCCAAAAATCATCATGTGCAAACTCCGCCTTGACAGATTCCTAAGCAGCCTCCTTTGCAAAATAAGATCCTCTAAATTCAATGCATTTCTATTAAGATTCTAAATACAAAGTATTCATGCAACATCTAATTTATTTTCTTATATTTTGTCTTTCACTTACCCTCCAGTGTTTGTGTACATTGATAAAGTTGGCTCTCATAATTTGACCACAGTCAAAAGCATAATTCTCTTATCACGTTTAAAGAAGAAAAACTAAAGTGGAAAAATCATTCATCTTCCTTCGTGTTCTAATCTTCCATTATCATCTCGGACATAAACAAATTCCAAATACATGCAAAATGCAAGAGAATTTGTTACGTGTTTAATGTGTATGTGATGATAATGAAAGGTACCTACCACGCAGCTGAGGGTCTTAAGACTTTGCCTTCTGTCATAGAGCAATCAAAGGATTTACCTTTCACTGGGTGTCACATGGCAACAAAAGGCAATGAGCTTCTGCCATCAACCATAGATGAATGGAGTAAATTTTTTTTTCTTTATCAAGAAAAAAAAGAGAAAAAAAAGTGCTACAGTGTTTAGTGTAGTAACTGCCAAGGCAAAAAAAAAAAAAAAAAGTGTCTGGGACTGGCATTGTACTGTGATAAGAGCGCTTTGACCCCCTGTGTTTCCAGCCATTTTTAATACTAGCTTGTTTTTCAGGTGCATCATCCCCTGCTCGACCAGCCACTCCTTTGGTTCCTTGCAGCAGTACCACTCCACCTCCACCCCCTCCCCGGCCTCCATCCCGACCAAAGCTACCTCCAGGAAAGCCTGGAGTTGGAGATGTGGTATGTTCCCCTCTGCCCTGGCTTGCTCAGAAACGGTGAGAATGACAAACAGAAGCTCCAAATGCCTTCAGGTCTAAGCGTTTAGAGGACTTATACAAACAACCCCAAAAGGTGTCATCTGAAAGACAGTCACTGTGGTATGAGTGTACATTTCAACCCTCCTCAAATTTCTACCATCTTCAAGCCAAGGTCTAAAATGATAGGAATGGGATGCTTGGGCCCTCACCTCTGCTACAGTGGGTTAGATGCAAATGCCGACAATAACATTCAATTGCACTAAATCCTTTAGAAAGACAAGTGTTTCACAATATTTGTCGGCTGTTAGAAAACTCCGAGAGGGCGAATCCTGGCTTCTGACCCCAGAATGCAGATGACTTACTGAGAGTATGCACACTATGTGAATATACAGAAAAGGAGCAGTGGCATGAGGAATTTGTTGCGAAAGTTTCTTGCATTGCGTTTTAAGGCTGAGGAGTGGAAAATATTCTGTGTTTAAGGCTGAAGAGCAGAAAACATTCTGTGTGAACAATTAGGAGAGACTCGTGGCAGAGGTAGATTTCTTCGGCATTTGCACACAGGAGCCACAAACTGATGACATCCATAATATTTGGCTGGACTAGCATAGTGCAGTATTTTTGTATTTCACTAGCTTTAGATGAGCATGAGCTCTCACCCGGTGTCACCTGCTGAGTCCCTTAGGGCATGTGAGTTCAGTCCTAAAACAGACCCGCTGATCATGTCACAGACCTCAGCTTCCCTAAGCTCGGGTTTAGCATGTTATAGTTTATAGTTTAGCATGTTATGGTTTATAGTTTCTCCAGCAAATGCCATAAACTTTCCACTCCACAAACTCTCGTATAGATATAATTAATTTCAGGGTAAAAATGGTGTCATCTACTTTTTAAAAACCTAAGTTGTCATATCTGGGGCTGGAAGACATTAAAAATATAAAACAAAAATACTGCAACCTGTGTATCTAACTTCTCATCTCTTTTCTTCTCCCTACAGTCCAGACCTTTTAGCCCTCCCATTCATTCTTCCAGCCCTCCTCCAATAGCACCCTTAGCGCGGGCTGAAAGCACTTCTTCAATATCGTCAACCAATTCCTTGAGCGCAGCCACTACTCCCACAGTTGGTAAAAATCCTCTCCTCTCTTTTAATCTGTTTGTGGTTTTGACTAGCTATTTTTTATGATCTGAAATCCCCAAGGCTTGTGTTTCTGGTTGAAATTGTTTTGCTGTGTGTTTTGCTACTATCACCTGACTTCTTTTTAAACCACCTTCTCAGCAAAGGAGGCAAAGTGTTTTACCTATGCAAATAAACAAATACAAGAACATTAACACCTGTATTTTGCAGGAATTTTCTGATGGTGTTCCTTACAAAGCTATTCAAAAAAATAAAGAAGAAATCGCCAAGGACGGTCTTGTAATTTAGATATCATTTCTTAAAACAAAAAGTCTCCTTTAAGGGGAAATGTTATTTAAATTCCAACCATGTACCACATCAGAAATCACAAAATTTAGAACTTGTATTTTCTTGAAGCTTTCATTTCTTCATCACTTTTGGTTGTCCTTATGTTGACAAATGGTATAAACATTGGCATCATGTGACTTGAGCAAACTTTTCAACATTCTTTTCTAGTGCATTTTGATGATGTGTGGTCAATTTTCCTAGAGAAATAAGTAGTTGGTGGCATTTTCAGTAAATGCTTTTGCGCCTCTTTCCTTATGCTGTGATGAAAGTGTTGAGAATGGCTGTTCAGCCAGATGGTTTTCCAAGGTATCAATGCTTTATTTTGCCTGGAGCATCATCCCCCTTTCCAAAGCTGGTCTCTTTCTTTTCCACCTCCCAGCAGGAGACAGGTTTCTGCCGCCTCTCTCATTTTTGTATCCTGTCTCCCACCTAGGGCTTTCCCATTTCATTTTCCCATGGAATCCCCATTCCCCATGGTCTTCCTTTATTGTTGGAACTCCCCTCCGGCTCTTCCATAGTGTAAGCCACCTGGCCCATCCCACATTGCTTGGGAGAATCATTAACTAAAGCTAAATAAATTCCTTCTGCTGCTCTTGGAAGAACAGATCGCACAGTTGCCTTCTCACTGTACAACCTGTGAGAAGTAGGTTGGTCAAAGCCTGAAGCTCTTCCAGAGAAAAGAATTGCCTGTTTTCACAGAAATATAAGTTAAGGTGTGCCTCTTAAGGCCCCCAAAGAGAATTTCGACGATGTCACATGCTTTATATCTTTAATCAGATCCTTCCAAAAGAACCTTTCAAGTTTGGTGAAAATATAGCCACTTACCTAGTTTCATGTGAGTTAGTAACAGACAGATACTTGACATTATTTATGTAGCCAGGTTTGTTTCTGTCTGCAACATCAATTGGGGCAACTTGGGGCTTCCTACCTTCCAATGCCTAGTAACTCATTTCCCTTTTTTGTTTGTTTGTATTGTTCTGTAACTTTTTTTTTTTTTTTTTTTTTTTTTTTGAGACGGAGTTTCGCTCTTGTTACCCAGGCTGGAGTGCAATGGCGCGATCTCGGCTCACTGCAACCTCCGCCTCCTGGGTTCAGGCAATTCTCCTGCCTCAGCCTCCTGAGTAGCTGGGATTACAGGCACGTGCCACCATGCCCAGCTGATTTTTTTGTATTTTTAGTAGAGACGGGGTTTCACCATGTTGACCAGGGTGGTCTCGATCTCTTGACCTCGTGATCCACCCGTCTTGGCCTCCCAAAGTGCTGGGATTACAGGCGTGAGCCACCGCACCTGGTCTTTTTTTTAACTCTATCTCTTTAATACTCCTTGATTGCTACAAGCCATTCCTCGCACTGCCACCCTTTTTCAAGATTAGTTGTTTTACTTACTTCATGTGATTTGCCTTGTTGGTCAGAGAAGAAAGTAGGAGCAAACTGTCACTCAGAAAGCTGACTCCCAAGTGACCTCAGATAAACCTGTCACATGTTCTTTCAATGCACTGTGGTTCATAGAGAAAATAGCACACACAAAGAATTGAACTTTGTACATGTTTTGTGCAATATGTTTCTATACTCTCTGCTGCAGAAATCTCAAATCCTGGCCAGAAACTTTGATTCTTAACACATCTAGTATGGGTTCTTTCAAGATGAACCAGAGTGGATTTTTTTTAAAAATAGCCATGTAAGAGGATAGTCACGTTGCGTCATTATTGAGAAGCATACTGATTTCGTTTGGTTTCGTTACGTTTATTTGGTGTTCATCTTCCTGTTGAATTCTTCACCCTCCTGCTCTGTCTTTTCACCTGCTGTGGGTCACCTGACAGCCACTTTTTTCTGAAGTAAATATATTGTGGAGACTGACTGTCCCGAGGCTTCCTGTGCACTGTGCTTTCTCTCTGGAGAGGATGCGCTTTGTCTGTCCAGCACCAAAGGGCCTAATCATGACTGATTTGGAACGTCAACTTAATGCAGTCAAATGGTGTGAGGGAGGTAGAGAGTTTCAGGAGCAAATTCTCTGAAGTTGATAGCTCAACGTTTCCCTCCCACCACAATACTTTTTTTGACATTTCCTATGGTACTCGAGCCAAAATTGGGGCAAATTTAAAGTAATTCAAAAACTAAAGTTTTAAGAGCAAGTCTAAACCTTCCACACAGCAATTCATATAAGAAAATTGCCCCTAAATGACTTCGGATATGAAATTTCTTATGACAACTGTGCTTACGCAATAGCAAATCTGATGCTACACCTAAAAACAGGACTTTTTGTGTGTTGTCACACTCGAATAAGGAAGAGCTCCTATACAGCTGCCTTTTACTGGTTTAAAGACACCCTCGACTGAAAAATGCACCATTATTTTGTATATGACTAAGAAAGGCGGGGAACTGCCAGTTGAGCTAAGATAAAGTGCTTTTTTATTACGTTAATTATTTCAGGCATGTTAGAATGTGAAAAAGTGCACAGTTTAGAATCAATGAGCCAGGCTTGGTGGTGTGTGGTGGTAATCCGGTGGTAATTCCAGCTGAGATGGGAGGATTACTTGAGCCCAGGAGTTCAAGACCAGCCTGGGCAACACAGCAAAATCCTCATGTCAGTTTTTAAAAATAATAAATAAATAAAAAGAATCAATGAAAAACAGTAAGTTCTTTTGCACTAGTAAAAGCTCACAGGACTGCTACTATATGATTTGGGGGAAAATCCTATTAATATTACAGGGATAGGGAAATTGCTTAAAGTTATTCTAAGAAACAAGCTACTAGACATTTCAAGATACAGAGATAACAATAGAGATAATGAGGAATATTATCATTAAATTGTAAATATGGAGTCAAGCTAGTAGAGTATTTATCAAGGAACATTATTAGTTGTGGAATATTTTTTTCTACCCTAATCCATTTCCTTCTCAGCATTTTTCTTACTGGTCTTTGTGCAAATTTTATTCAATTTTCTATTAAAATTGTAATATTATGCAGAAGACCTGTGGCACTGAGTACTTTTTTAAAATCACATAGAGTCAAAATCCCAATTACTTGCATTTGTTAGTTGCTGAGAAGAGAGACCTTGTAAAGAGCTAAATCGGTTAAAGTCTAGAGCACCAACTCATGCTTTTGTGACCAACTTACAAAGACATTTAGCCACAGCTGGATACCACAGACAAAGATGATATTATGATAATGCTGTTCAAAATTAACAGCCTATAACTATCAGGTGCAAGGCAAATTGAATTTGGATATTGATGAGGCCGAAATGGGATAATTCATGCAGGGACCGTGGATTTATACTGTTGCTTTTTTATGGTAATGTTGAAAGCATCTACTTTCCCATGGGAGGAAGGTTCATGCTGAGTGATCCTATTGAGCTGTCAGGGCTATGTCAGGAGATTCTTGTTGAAGGACATATGTCTGACCACTTGAGAACTGTGTTGGAGTGAAACACACTTGCATAAGTCAATTATTAATTGCAATTCCTTTAGCAACTCCCTGAGAAGGTGGGACGTGACTTCTTCCCTGGAGCTGACTTAAGACAAATTCACAGATGCTAAACTCTGGCATTTTTTAACATTTTAATTTCCTCTCATAGAATCATCACAAAATAAGCAAAACACATTTTAATAACGAAATCGTAATTCCAGTGTTTTAAATTTTGTTTCCCTTTTTCATTAAAGTCATTCCTGTGTTCCAGTCAGTAGAGTGGGCTTCTTGATTTCATTTGGGATTTGTATTTGTGTTTTTGTTTTCCATTCGTTTATGTTTCTTTGGTTCGTAGTGTCAGAAGATGATGTTTTTTATGACAAACTGCCCTCGTTTGAAAGGCGCTGTGAAACGCCTGCAGGTATGGTGCTAGCCAAGTGAACTCTAGAGACCTAGATTTCAAAAATCCAAGCCATTATCCATCTGAATGCTACAAATGTCATGGACATGCTCCTCACCTCATGAGTGTCCAGTGCCTCTCAGATGCACCCTGTATATTTACTGTTCATTATAGAACTCATGCCACTGAAATTTTTTAAATGACTGTATTAAAAAGCAGCAGGTTGCATGACAGTTTCTCAGTGAAGAGGTTCAAAAGAAAAAGGTGAGATGCTATTGCTTTGTGACTCTACAGAGGAAGGAATAATTGAACTGCTCAGAATTACATGTCCGGTCACTGCTTTTTAATTTAAAAAATAATAGAGCATCATTAGTAATCTTGTTTTCTCTTTGGTGCATAGTTAAAGGGTGTTTTGTGTCTGGATGCCTAAGGTGATTCCAGGGGAGCGGATGGAAGATATGTGACATCTTCCCTGAAATTTATATTGATATGCAATGCTTTGTCATTTAAAACCTAAGCTAATGTTTTCTACAATCCATAAGTCTGAGTTTATCTTTCTGGAAACATAGAAGGGGATGACATTGAAGATGAAATGGATACAGCCATTGCTGAATGACAGTTTGCCCAAATTAGTGCAGTTAAAATACGCTGACGCCCCTGCATGGCCAGGAAGACTTCCACTCCATGCACACAAGCACCAAGTATCAAGCGACCACCAACACGTGCCCATTCCTTTAGGCCTCCATAGCTTTGCTTTTGCTTTTTGTTTCCTGAACTAAAAAAAAAAAAAAAAAAAAAAAGAAAAAAAATGCGTAGATTGCCAGCCTTCCCTTTTTCCTGCACGCTAATGGCATGTAGTGCCTCCACCCTTCCCCATAGTGAGATTAATAACCTGCTCTGTAACTCACATTGTGTCCTTCTCTCTCCCTCTCCTTAACCCTTACCATCCCGCTTCAACTCCTGGCCATACAGAGAATGAACAGCCTTCCCTCGTTTGGTTTGACAGAGGAAAGTTTTATTTGACTTTTGAAGGTAAGTAGTGCATAGCATACCAGATTCTAATCTATACTCCCCATCCTTCTTTTCCCATCTGCATCTCCAAATCCCAGTTCTCTTCCAAAGTTCTGGTCTCACATTCCATATGAAAATGCTATGGCTACTTAGAAAATGCTAAACACTAAAGGAAATATTACATGAATTTGGTTAGTATATGATCTTCAATTTTTCACATTGAAAAAATTAAAGCTAATTTGCAGTTAATATTGGTTATTTAATTAACTGTGGTCAATTGAAAACAAAACAAAACACACCTTTTTTGGCCAAGGAACTTAACTCTGTCAACCAGGGCTCTTTCCTAACTCTTGCAAATGCAGTGCAACAGACATGACATTTTTGGTTGGTATTGGCATTTAACTTGTTTTGGATAATTAATATTTCAGATGCAACCTCCACTATTATAAAATCTAAATATGTAAATACATTCTTATGACAAGGAATGCTGTATAAGAGATGAGAAAAACTGGGAAAAGAAAAAAAGAGTATAATACTAAGTTTGATCTGCATCTCCTGAAATTGCAGTGAGGTGACCGCAGTAAAATGGACAACTATTGCTGGACTTGCCATTTTAGAAGATTAATGAAAATATACCGAAATATGATGTCAAATATCTAACCTCAATGTTTGATCATTTGTTATATTCTGCATTAAGGATAAGCATTCTTCTGTTTTATATTTAAGTTCTAAATCATCTTAACAGGCCAGTCGTTTGACTAAATAGACCATTTAAACTAATGGTGGTGGGGCGGGGGGAGAAGTTAAGTAATTTAACTTAATTTATGGGCTATCTTACACATAAAAATTTATCACATAAGACCCTACTTTCCAGGATTTTAAATTGCTACCTTTATCCCAGGGTCAAAAGTTGGCCAAAAAGCATTCCACTCTAGAATTGAATCTAAATATTGAACTTGTCTTTGTGTTTCATGAAAACAAAATAGAATCTTTATAACTTGAGTGTGTGTTTTCATGCAATTTTAAAATTTAGAATGGCTGATATACATAAATAGTTTGTAGAGTTGTGGATTTTTTTCCCTCAACAATGAATTTTGCTGGCAAGATAGTCGTAGAGATGGAAGTTCTTAGCTAGGACTTACCCAGAAGTAGCTTGGGTAGTAGTAGGAAAGATAATCTGATTTCCAGTTTCGCAAACATTCTGATTTCTTAAACTGGCTTGGGTAAAAGACGGGTGAATGTGCAGTCTTTAGTAGAGGATGTATCTTCTGTACATGAAGTCAAAGACATCATCGCCTTGGGTTATTAATTTTGTGATGACCAAGATGCAAAGTCCACAACTTGTGACCTCCTAAACTTTCTTTTAGAATTAGATGAAATTAATAAGGGCCAAGTATTTTTTTTTTTTTTTTTTTTTTTACTAATCAGCGTGTTGCAAAAGAACTTACAGCTGCATAGGGTGGTAATCCTGAAGGAAAGCACTCCCTGTATACTTAAAGGCGCTTTGGTTCCAGCTGGTCACAGCAGATGATGTAGTTTACCCTCTTTTAACTAGGAAATCAAGCAAGGCACTTTGACAACCCTCAAATGATTGTCTGAGGCTCAAAAAAAAACAAACAAACAAACAAAAAAAACCCAACTCTGACAGTTTTTTGTTGTTTGTTTTGTGTTTTGGCTACCGCATATGCTGGCTTATTTGTTTATACTTTATTGTGGGTCATTTTTGAGAGACAGAGACCCTTTTTGAAGAAACCAATCTAAAGACATTTTTGGTTGTTAGTTTGTTTTAAAAATACATATTCTCAATCAAATGTAAATATTTAATAAATGTGTGGAATAGCATATCATGTTTTGTGAAAATATATTTGTCAGTAGATTTCTGGGGATTTAAAGTTGGCAATATTGCCATTTTAATTAGTTAGATTCAAATTCCTTAAGCTTCTCAATTTGGGCCAAGAGAAATCATGCAAGAAGAGTTTCAATAAAAATTAATTGGAATCTCTAGTACTGTATTATCTTAATCTTGGACTTTGTTCAAGATTAAGTATAAATGACGCTTCTTGAAAGAGTATGTGAATAGCCATGTCATGAATGTAGGTGTCACTGTTTCTCTTGCTAAAAAATGTTTATGCAGATAAAAGTATATTGAAATGCACTTCAAGGGAAGCCTTAGAAGAAACAATATGAAGCCTTACTACCTGAGCAAAAATAGCTATAGTTTTTAAATGGAGATTTGTTTTCAATACTTGGATATTTTTAGCTAGTGAAACCAAGAATATTTTTTTTTATTCTGCTGTGATGATGAAATGATATAGAAATGGTGACATTTTAATTTACCTTGAGAATAGTGACCACACCTACATTTCTGCACTTCAAAAACATTTTCCTTCAACATGTTTTATTGAGTAGGATTTCTAACATATTCTTCTAGGACACTCTGGTTTTACCCACATTTGTTACTATTAGTATTAATTACCATTATCTTCAATTCTTCATTCTCCGAATGTAGAAGAAGAAAGATTCCCATGTCAAAGTGGCCATCAGTTCCAAATAGCTTTTCAATTATTATTTATTGACTTCTAAATAGTGTTTTTATAGTGTTCGAAACCCTACTGTCTTATTCATCATTTTATTCTTACAGTGCTTTAGACATAATTGTCGCTTTAGACATCATTTTCACTTTAGTCAATGTTTGAGCTACTGACCAACGAATCAACAAAGTAATCAATTGGCATATGAGTTTATTTGAAGATAACATGAGGTGCCTCACACTTCCAAATTTAATAATAGAGATAGAAAACTGTTAGTGGTTCTAATTCATGAGACTCAGTGCTTTTCCAAATGTTTTACTTTTTTAAACAGCTTCACTGAAATATTCATTAATAATTGAAATTCAATTTATTTTAAGTTGGGGAAAAAAAACAGGAAAGGTTGCAAATGGCGATCACTTTTTAAATCCATCAAAGACTGTATCCTATTGAAGCTATCAAGTATTCTGAGGTGGGAGGGCAAGATATTTCCATGACAAATATTAAATAGAAGATACGACTGCTAGGTATTTGAGCAATTCCCCAGAGTGTTTGAACATTGAGATGTTTTCAGCAATGTGCTGCACTTCTCCTTGGCTAGCTTTTTTAACTACAAAATCATCTTATATGTCGTGATGAAAAATGAACAAAAACCTGCTACCTTCCATTCTTCAGTGGCCTCGTGTGGGACTATCAGCTCTATCATACAGCCTCTTATACAGCCTCTTCTATCTCACACACGCTCATCTTTAGACTGCTCTGTGCTTCTGTTCACTGGTCTTTCTCCCATCATTCCCACTGGGAACATCACATTCCTAACAGTCCCCTTCTGTACATTTCAGTCTCTCAGCTGAACTTACCCACCCGTTTCCTGAAGAAATCCTGGCTCTACTGGGAGCCATCATTTCCATAGCACTCTCCATGGAGACCTCTCTTCAGTCTTCCATGGACTGTTCATCATGGGACTAGGAGGCAGTGTTTCGATTCCCCCAGATCCCTAATGCTACTTCCAAAACCTCCCTGATTGTGAAAGCAGCTGTCTGATAATTCCAGGATCTTCCACTCCTTCTTGCTGTTAACAGCTGACTGCAGAGCAGTCCTCTGCATTTATCTTAGAGATGCTGGCAGTTTGCATGTTACCCTCTGGGCCACCTCACTTCCCAACATCATCCTGTGACATGGAGTGTATGTGTGTGACCCGTCCCACATACTGGCTCCAGAGTCTCTTGATGTCTTCTCCAGCAAGCTTTCTCAGGCTTTCTCTCCACTTGACTCGGTACTCCACACCTCTGGCCACACCCTGGAAATCGTTCCCACTGGCAAGTCTCATTTCAGCTGTTTCATAATGAACGATTTGCCACCCTTTTGGTGCACGAGGGACTTTATGAAGCAATATTCTTTCATTCAACAAATATTAAGTGACTGCCTACTAGGTACTGGCACTGGGCACTCCCCGGTAGTAAACAAAACAGAAAAATATCCCTGTCATCACAGAGGTTATGTTCTACTGTGAAAAGTTAAAAATAAAAAGATAAATAAGTAAAAGATATATAGTATGAATACGGTAATTTTATTCAATAGGAAAGGAGAATGAAGCATAATGAGGGTTGCAGTTTTAAATTGGGGAATTTGAGGTTGAAAAATTAAAAATAAAATAAAAATAATAATGAATATGAGTAACCAACATCTGAGTATTTACTATGTATAAAGCATCTCCATCTATTATCTCATTTCACCTGCACAACTCACTAATAAAAAAACTGAGATTCAGGTGATATAAGTAATTTTCACAGGGTCACACAGTCAAAAAGAGACAGAGTGGCAGGGCATGGTTTCTCACACCTGTAATTCCAGCACTTTGGAAGGCCAAGGTGGGTGGACCAACTGAGGTCAGGAGTTCGAGACCAGCTCAGCCAACATGGCAAAACCCCACCTCTACTAAAAATACAAAAATTAGCTGGGCGTGGTAGAACACGCCTTTAATCCCAGCTACTTGGGAAGCTGAGGCAGGAGAATCGTTTGAATCCTGGAGGCGGAGGTTGCAGTGAGCCGAGATTGCACCACTGCCCTGGAGCCTGGGTAACAGAGTGAGACTCCATCTCAAATAAATAAATAAAAGAGACAGAGTAATGATTTAAACTCTGGCCGCCTAGCCAGAGGCCACTCTGCTCCACCACCTCACCCTACTGTACATACATAATCTCATCAGTCCTTGCAACAAAGGTTTGGCCCTAATCTTCTAGACTTCCAGCTCTCTAATTTCCTGATACTACACCTTATTTTTCTCTTTTATTTTTAGTTGACAGCTAACAATTGTCCTATTTGCAGGACACCAAGTAATATTTCAATACATGTGTAATATGCATACATAAAAATCAAATCAGGATAATTAGCATATCCATCATCTCAAATATTTATCATTTTTGGGGTTGTGAACATTCAAAATCCTCTTTCAGCTTTTTGAAAATATGCAATAAATTAGTGTTTTCCCTG